ATTGACACTGTATATACTAAGACCCCTCAAAAGTAAGCAGGTGTTATTATTCTTATTTAGAGTCAAAGAAATCTAGTATAGAGGGATTCCTTCATCTACATGATATTGATTTTCAAGACCTTAAAAGGTGAATCACTTCAAGAACCACAGGCACCAAAATAAGTAAAGACTGCTTTAACCACATTTTAACATTTATTCTTGAAACATCACAGTGAAGCATTCATTATCTTTCCCATTTTTTAAATAGGAAAACCAAATTTGAGAGGATTTAAAGGGCATGCCGTAGGAGACATAGCTAGTACAAAACTGGACCCAAAAGCCGGGTCTCCTGACATGAATCCCACATCCTGCCCACTATACCAGTTGTATATACAGCCCACATTTCTTTGTGGCTTTTCTTAGTGCAAAATTGGAACCTGGCATGCAGTAGATTATCATCATATATTTTTTGAATAGATGAATGAGAAAGTGAAGACTGTCTTTAGTCTCTTCTTCACCTCTTTTCCATGCACCCCCTAGATGGCTAATCTTAGTTGATACTTAGCAATTTCCTACCCTGTGGCTCTCGGGCAGCTTCCTGTTCCCTGTTCCCATTAAGAACTTAGCCATCTTTTATCCCATTCTTTCTAGTTTATAAGAATGTAAACTATAAAACCAGTTAACATTTATTAATTATGTACTATGCATTAGGTACTTATCATATTAAATCCTCATAGCAAATGTAAAGGTTGAGGATTATTATTTCCATTTACAGAAGAAAAAACCAAAACCTTAAAAATTACATGACTTACAGAGCTAGAAAGTGTGGGATCTGGCATCCTATCCCAGATTTATCTGACTCCTGAAGTTGAAGGCCATACTTGCTGAACTCTCCTGCCTCCACACAAAGCTGACAGTGACTGCCAAGAGTTTATTTTTTTACTCATCCCTCCCAGAAGACACTTGAATTTTAATAAGGTCTTTCAACACTTTAGCCCAACAATTCTCTAAGTGAAGTCCATGGGCCTCTGGAGTCTTTAAGAAACTTTTAGGAGGTCTTCAAAGTCACAACTATTTTCATAATAATACTAAGATGTCATCTGCCATTCTCACTGAGTTAACATTTGCACTGATGATGGAGAAGCAACTGTAGACATAACTGCTGCCACTTTAGAACAAATCAAGGCAGGATACCCAACTATCATTGCATACTTCAACACCACACACTCATGGGAAAAACCAAAAGGCAGTTTTCTTAAGATTATCTATGATGAAGCTGTATTATTAGTTTTATTAAAATCCCAACCCTTGAGTACACATATATTTTTTAAAAATTTATTTGTTTATTTGAGAGAGAGAGAGCACACAAAGGGGAGGCAGAGGGAGAGAGAGAGAGAGAAACTTTAGCAGATTCCATTCTGAGTGCACAGCCCAACACAGGGCTCAATCCCATGACCCTGAGATCACCACCTGAGCTGAAACCAAGAGTCGAAAGCTTAACCAACTGTGCCACCCAGGTGCCCTAAGTACACATATTTTTAGTACTTTCTGTGACAAAATGGGAAGCACACATAAAACACTTTTGAGGCACACCAAATTCTCAAGAAAAAGCACTTGTGAGATTTTTTGAGCTGTGAACTAAACCAGCCACTTTTGCCATGGAACACCATCTTTTCTTGAAAAATTGACTGACAGACAAACTGGTTATTCAGACTTGAGTATCTGGCACACATTTTCTCAAAAATGAACAAAGTGAGTCTGTCATTTCAAGGAAAACTGCTGACGCTATCTGATTTCAATGACAAAATTTGAACTTGTGAAAATTAGAAATTTAAAAAATTTTACCTGCCACCATGAGCTTGACAAGTTTCCAATATTTAAAGATTTTTCTTTTAAGATCAGTGGTGATATTAATAGACATGAGATTTTTTTATATTGTATAATAAATGTATCAACATTTGGAAGGGACGCCTAGGTGGCTTAGTCGTTCAGCATCTGCCTTCAGCTCAGGTCATGATCCCAGGGTCCTGGGATTGAGCCCCACATCCGGCTCTCTGCTCAGCGGGAAGCCTGCTTCTCTCTCTCCACTCCCCCTGCTTGTGTTCCCTCTCTCGCTGTGTCTCTCTCTGTTAAATAAATAAAATCTTAAAAAAAAAATTTGAAAGATCTGCATAACTCAGTGAATCAATATTTCCTAGATGATTAATATATGATATTACAGAACCATGCATGGGTAAAAGATCCATTCAAAGTGCAGGACAGATCAACGGATTTTAATGTAATAGAGTATGAAAAGTTCATTGATATGGGGTCAGGTTCCATACTACAACTAACCTGTTTTGGTGTACTAAAAAAAATCACCACAGTTATCTAAAAAGTCTGTTGAAGTACTCCTCCCTTGCCTAATTACATACTATGTGAGGTGGGATTTTCTTCATAACCTTCAACCCAAATAACATATCACAACAGATTGAAAGCAGAAGCAGATCTTAGAATGCAGCTGCCTTCTATTAAGCCAGACATTAAAGAGATTTTTGAAAATGTAAAACAGCGACAGTCTTCTCAACCAAATATATTTGTTTTAGAAAATATATTTATTTTTCAGAAAAATATTATGTTAATATATGATGGTGTATTGTTTTTTTTTTTAAAGATTTTTTTTTTTTAATTTGACAGGGGGCGACACGGTGAGAGAGGGAACACAAGCAGGGGGAGTGGGAGAGGGAGAAGCAGGCTTCCCACCGAGCAGGGAGCCCAATGCGGGGTTCGATCCCAGGACCCTGGGATCATGACCTGAGCTGAAGGCAGATGCTTAATGACTGAGACACCCAGGCGCCCTGGTGTATTGTTATTTTAAAAGAAATTAATGAACTGAAGTTTTAAAATTTTCTCAGTTTTAATTTCCAATATGGCAAATATTGAGAGGTATAACTCACACAAATGAAAGCTCTTTGGGATACTCCATTATTTTTAAGAGTATAAATGAGATTTGAGACCAAAATGTTTGTGAACCACTGCTTTAATGCAAGGAAGTGATAATTTGAGTAGTTCTGATAAACCAGTGGACTGGGCATTGAGTAAGAGAACTTTTTATCCTCTTTCTAAAAACCAAATGTACAATCTATGCATATTCCTCTGAGAAAACTTGCTCCCAGGAAATCCCCAATCAAGACTTTGGGTTGCATGCTCTCCCTACATTACCATTTCACAATGCTCAAACAAAAGCTCAGCATGGCATGCATTTAATTCAGATTTTTTCATGGATCATGACCTTTCAACTATAGGAGTCAGCAAAGGGAGGGGATTTCTATATAGTACCACTGGGAGGGTATCTTTCACCCCCAATGTGAATCTTAGTCCAAGAACATTTCTTGACACGTTCTGAGAGTCTGTATCTAATTAATCACCTCTTCAGACACTTGAGTGGACAGCCCTTGGGGCAGGAAGGGCGAGGCCTGGGAGGCAAAGCAGAATAAACATCTTAATCCAAATCAAGACTGAGGACAGCTGTCCAGGCTGTCTTGTGGCCACAGCTCACAGGGCTGCTGCTTCTACTTTATCCCTTGAAAGTGCCTCCTTCCCTCTCCTTCCCATGCAAGCAGCCAGTCCAGTGTATGAATTTGTGGGTTGGATTCTAATTGCTAGCTGTGCTGGGAAGCCCGCCTCCCTCTAATTCAGCCTTGACACAAATAGCTAGAAAGTTCACTTGCAAAGCCACAACTCCCATAGCAATGCCCTTGGGGGTTCCCTTCTAGAGAGAGAACTTCTATTCCTTTCAAGTCAATAGCTACTTACCAAGCACCTATTTGATACTTAGCACACCCTGTGAAAAATGAATCTGAAAAACAAATTTGACAGAATCATAGAGGCTTGGAGTTTCTAGGTTTGTCATCATAGCTCTACTCTCACACAGGGCCCACCAGCCTCTACTTGGACCACTTCAGTGATGAAGACCTGGCTGCCTCTTCAAGCATTTTTAGAGAGCTTTAGTTGGTAGAAAATTCTTTCTGCTTCTCTAGGAGAGGCAGCATAGCACAGTGGTTAAGGCACATAAACCTGGGTTTTAATCCAATCTCAGTCACTTATGATCTTGAGCAAGTTACTTTATCTATCTATGCCTCAGTGTCCTTATCTGTAAGAAGGGAATAACAATACCCATCACACGCTGTTGTTGTGTTAAAATAAACTATACTTGTGAAATATATTGCCCAAGTCCTGGCACAAGTTAAGTGCTTATTAAGCCAGTTCTGTCATGTAGTCACCTTTGACCTTTAGCAAATTTGTTAATTCAGATCCTTTTGTAACTGAAATAATACCTACAACTTAGGGTTGTCAGGATGCATCCCTCATTAGGAACTTACTAGTTTTAGGACATTGGGCAAGTTATTTTAATCTTTTAAGCTAGATTTTTTTTTTTATCTGTAAATAGAGGTAGCAGTGCTTGCTACCTAAAGGGGTTTTGTGAGAAATAGAGTATATAAGATACATTTTAACTCTGTGCTTGGTAAACAGTAGACTTAATTAGCATTCACTTCCATCCATTTGCCCTGAGAAATGTCTCCCTTGCATGGTCTTTTGTCCACTATTTGGATCTACACAGACTAAGTCAAATCTTTCTTCCAGTTGGATCCTTCATTATAATGTTTCCCGTGTGTCTTCTTTCCTCTGGTGTATACTTCTCCAGTATCTCCAAAGCATTTCTTGCATAATGTTTTGAGCTTTTTACCATCATGGGAATGTTTCCCAGATGACCTCTAGTTTGTCAAGGTTCTTTTCAAAATATGATGTTCAGAATTAAATGTGAAATTCCAGGTGAAGATTGACCAGCCCAGAACAGTTTGAAACCATCATCTTCATTGTGTATGATGCTGAATCTCTTTGAATGGGACCCAAGATTAAGTGGTAGACTTGCCATATTATTAATTCATATTGAGCTTGTAGTCAACTTAAGTCATAGTATTTAACTGCTGTTAAAACATGTCTCTCCTATTCCATACTCATGAAGTTTAATTTAAGAAAGAAAAAACATGGAACACCTCACAACTTTATGTGTCATTCTTGCACAGGAGCTAGGCTAAACTTCTCTCTATCATTCCAATATCAGTATATGTGCTGTTGAAGTGAGTATGTTTAATTTTTTTAATCATAAATATAGGATTTTTTTCTTGATCTCTGATAAAACTGGTTTCATTATTTTGACTCATTCTTCTTACCTATTTCTTTTCAAATAAATCTGGATTTTGATATCTAGCATATTGCCTACTTGTTGCATTCTCTGCTTACATATTTAATCAGAATGTCCTTTATTTAATTTAATTAAATTGTTGAAGAAGATAGGCCAAGTCAGAGCTCTGTACGGTGAAAGAGAGTGCACTCCACCCCCATCCAGGTGGATTTTGATCAACATTATGAAGGTCTGGTCAGTTAAGTGCCTATAAACTTTCTGTATTGTAATACCATCCAGCTCTCAGTTCTTTACCATTTTACATACTCCATGCTTACAAAATGATGAAATGAAGTGATCTCCCTTCTCTATGGCCCAGGGGAAAGCATATAGCTGAGAACAGGGATTCAAATCTTTGTTCTTTAACACACTTATTGGGTGTCATGTGGAAAGTTACTTAAACTTACCTTTGATTTTCCCATATGCAAAAAAGACAACACTATTACATTCCTCACTGTTTACTGAGAATATTAAGAATGGTGATAATTAGAATAAAGTCTCCATAATATGTAGATATTGCTTGTTTCAGTAACTGGACTGGAACACAGATTATCTTTGTATATGTTTTAAACATACAGATGAAGAAAAGAGGCTCAGAGAAGTAAAGTAGCACCAAGATTCAAACTCATATCTGTTTTGCTTAAAAATACATTATCTTTCCACAATGTTATGCAACCTCACTGAGAATTATCTGTATAAAGTGCTTTCTGTTATAAAATCCCAGATTGATATGAATTGTTATAATTTAGTTTACCAGTTAGAAAAGACAATTAGGTTCATTTAGCATAATTTGTCCTCCATGAATGCAAGTGGCTACTGGTGATTACAAATTCTCCTTTTTATATACTCACAAATCACCTTTCAATAATCTTTTTGCTAGTTTTTCTTTTCTTTTCTTTTTTTTTTTTTACTTTAGATACAATAGGTTTATAAATTCTAGAATTATCCTTTCTTTCTTAGAAAAATTCTAAATATTTATCCTTCTCTGGGTTTCTGGTACTTCTCACATTGAAAAATAGGCCATGTTATTTTGTGTGGGTTTTTTGTTTGTTTTTGCCTACAAAATGCTTACATATAACTGTGAGAAACTAGACAATAGGGTAAAGAGTTACACAAAATATAGTCAGGTATTAAAATGAATGACAGAAATCAAGAATTGTCCTAGATGGTCAAGAAAGTGATCAAATATGAGCTACAGGTATCAGCAAAGACCTCATGGTAAGGACTGTAATTCTAGACTCCAAAAGATCAGTACTTGATTTTTGAATTTTCCATAATCAAGCAAGGAAGCACTAATTGTGTTCCTTGAAGACTCCAGGAATCTGTTTTCACTTTCCTATGCTTACTTGGGCTCCTTCTATCTGCATTGGTACCAAGTAGCAGTGCCAACTGTCAGAGCTAACTAGTTCACTCCTGTTGACCTGTGGTCCATGAACTCAGATACACTTTGCTGAGAGAATCATCAGTAGAGCCTGGGGGGAAACCTGTGTTGACTAAAAGCACATGGAGTAGTTACTGCCCAGAATTCCTGGGAAAAAAAAATGGAGCTACAAAAATTCCAGGCACTTTTGCCCAAAGTCTGTAGGTTTTTATTTATTTATATATTACAAACATGTATTCAACACTTACTCAATATTGGGCACTGGGCTAAATGTTGGAGATAAAAAGTCAAACTCAACATGTCCTCTAGGAAGTTTCTCATAGAAGATGAAAACTCAACTTTTAGTTGAATTTTGAGGAGCCACCTACTATTAGTTGGATGAAAATGTGAACAGAGGTAAGGTATACCAGAGAGTGGAAACAGGTAAGGGAAAGGAAGCAGAGAAGCATGAAAAACCTGTCCAATTTGGGAAACTAAAAATGCTTTTAGGTGATTAGACAGTACATTGACTGTGAGGGAGGGATGGGGGCAAAGATAGAGGAGTGGTCAGGAGCCAGATGGTGAAGAATTTTGGTTGCTAAGATAGGGAGTTTGAACTCTTATCCTGGAAGTTGTTTTGGCCCACTGAAGGAATTTAATCAGCAAAATGAAATGATTATAACTATGCTTTATTTTTTTATTATGTTATGTTAGTCACCATACAGTACATCATTAGTTTTTGATGTAGTGCTCTATGATTCATTGTTTGCATATAACACCCAGTGCTTTAAAAAGATGGCTTTTATTAGAGGTGTGTAGAGTAAATGGGAAAAGAACCATTCTGAAACCCAGAGAGTCCAGTTAGGAGGCTGTGGCAGTAATCAGGTTAGAAGCAATGGCTACTGACTAGAGCAGTGACCATTAGTGGGAATCAAATAGAGGGAACAAATGCAAGTGATATTAAAGGAGGTAGAATTCAAGTCCTCTGTGACAAGAAGAATGACATGGGAAGAAAGGGGTAATAGTTAAGAGTCTAGGACAATTCTCACATTTCTTATATGGCTCACTGCATTGCTTATGGTTCCTTTCATTGAGATGGGGCATGAAGTGGGAAGATCAATTTTTGGTTGGTAAGATGATGAGTTCAGTCTTTGACATATTAAGGTTTGGGGAGGGAGGAAAAGATGGCGGAGGAGTAGGGGACCCTATTCCAAACAGTCCCCAGAATTGAGCTGGATATCTACTAGACCACTCTGAACACCCACGAAATCAGCCTGAGATGTAAGAAGATATATCTGGATCTCTACAAACAGAATATCACAGGCAGTTGGCTTCGAGGTAAGAAGCAGGGAGCTGTGATTCCACGGGCAGATATCAGCAGATAAACAGAAGGGGGAGGGAGCCTTCAGGATCCTGCACTGCCAGAGCGCGAAAGCCTCCTGCGCTGGGGAACGGGCACAGACTCGCTGACCGGTAGCGATGGGGAAAGGACTTTAGGGCAGCCCCCTGGGCTGAAACCTGGAACGATGGGGCCACACGTGTGAACTGGGGGCAGCTGGTGGTTTTAGAAGCACAAAGGGAAAAGACGTGCCCCAACCTGGAGGCGAGGACTAGGAGTGTTGCTGAGGGGCACACAACCCAGGACACTGCAGTTTTTAGCAGCACAGACAGAAACAGAGATAGTGTGGCCTGGAGAGTTCACTGAAGAACAGACTGCAATTTCTCTGTTCTGAGGCAGAGGGTTGGAAACGGTCTCTTCTGCTCTGACTCTCGGAAGAGACGCAGAAAGCCACCAGGGAAAGCTGCCAGAGAACAAAAGCCCCCCAAAAACGGTTTCCACTGAGCCCATCCCCCCACACACAGGGGGCAGGGCAACTCTGAACAGGGTTGCCTGAATAACAGCGCGGCAGGCCCCTCCCACAGAAGACAGGCTGGGAGAACAAGAGGCCGGCAACACTTGGGTTATAAACAGATGCATCTTGCTTGGGTTATAGTCAATAATTTGGACTCTGTACATTCCCTCAACCACCCCTCAACAGAATGACTAGGAGGAGGAACCCCCAAAATAGGAAAGACTCAGAGACTGTGACTTCTGTCACAGATTTACAAATGGATACAGATATAACCAAAATGTGGGAAATGGACTTCAGGGTAACAGTTATGAAGACGATGGCTAGAATGGAGAAATTGATTAATGGCAACATAGAGTCTCTAAGGGCAGAAATGAAAGCGGAACTGGCAGCACTTAAAAATGCTATCAATGAGATCCACTCTAATCTAGATACTCTAACGACTAGAGTAAACGAGGCAGAAGAACGAATTAGTGATCTAAAAGACAAACTGGTAGAAGAGAAGGGAAAAGAGGAGGCCTGGGAGAAACACCTTAAAATCCATGAAAACAGAATTAGAGACATAAGTGACACCATGAAACTTTCCAATGTCAGAATTATTGGGATCCCTGAGGGGGTGGAGAGAGAAGACTAGAAGATACATTTGAGCAAATCATAGCTGAGAACTTCCCTAATCTGGGGAATGAAATAAACATTCGTGTCCTAGAGGCAGAGAGGACCCCTCCTATGATCAAGGAAAACAGACCAATGCCCTGGCATGTAATAGTAAAACTCACAAATCTTAGAACCAAGGAAACCATCTTAAGGGCAGTTAGGGGGAAGAGATTCCTTACTTACAGAGGGAGGAACATCAGGATAACGTCAGACCTATCCACAGAGACCTGGCAAGCCAGAAGGGGCTAGCAAGACATATTCAGGGTACTAAATGAGAAGAACATGCAGCCAAGAATACTTTATCCGGCAAGGCTGCATTTAGAATGGATGGAGAAATGCAGAGCTTCGAAGACCAGCAGAAACTGAAAGAATATGTGACCACTAAGCCAGCCCTGCAAGAAATATTAAGGGGGTTTCTGTAAAAGGAGAAAGACCCCAAGAGTGATATAGAACAGAAATTTACAGAGACAATCTATAAAAACAAATCTTCACAGGCAACATGATGACAACAAATTCATATCTTTCAATAATCACTCTCAATGTGAACGGCCTAAATGCTCCCATAAAATAGCACAAGGTTGCAGATTGGATAAAAAGACAGGACCCATCCATATGCTGTCTACAAGAGACTCATTTTGAACCTAAAGATACATCCAGACTGAAAGTGAAGGGATGGAGTTCCATCTTCCATGCCAATGTACCTCAAAAGAAAGCTGGGATAGCAATTCTTATATCAGGCAAATTAGATTTTAAGCTAAAGACTGTAGTTAGAGACACAGAAGGACACTATATCATTCTTAAATGGCCTGTCCAACCAGAAGATCTAACAATTGTAAATATTGATGCCCCCAACATGGGAGCAGCCAACCACATAAGCCAACTGTTAACCAAAATTAAGAGTCATATTGATAATAATACGTTAATTGTAGGAGACCTCAATACTGCACTGTCAGCAATAGACAGACCATCTAAGCAGAAAATCAACAAAGAAACAGGAGCTTTGAATGACACACTGGACCAGATGGACCTCATAAATATGT